CAGACCTTTAGAGGTACTCACCTTGCTCTGTGATCTTGTGACTCTGTGTCAGCAGAAGAGAAGATGGGATTGGAAAGGATCTGTTCTAGCCACATCAGGTCACAGCAGAGACACTCTCCACTGTCCCTATCATTTTTGTCCTCCTTACTACTAGCAAATGGCAGAGAATGAGTAAGCAATAGACACAACCAAGTCCATCAACATTGTTTAGTGGCCTGGATGTAATCAACCCCCCACAGAAGCCCTCTGTAAGATTCCCTTCCCTATAATGGAGTGTTATGTAGGTCCCACAAAAACAGGAGGATTTTAAAAAACTTCAACTAAAAAACTTTCAGTTGGTGGAAAGAGTCATGAAAACTCAGCTTAGAATTGTCCTCCCCACCCTCCCTCTTCTCTCTATCACATACACACACACTCACACATGAAACCACTTTTGTGGTATCTGCCATTCTGGTCGGTAGATAAATGAATCAACGTGGAGATGCGTGTTTACTGTCAATAAGGGAATGATACTCCATTCATTACAGAAAAAAAAAAACTTTTTTAAGTCTGCAAGGACACCATGGGAAAACAAGAAGGTTGACATTATAAAAGAAATGAAGCAATCAAAGAGTGTTCGTTTCAGTGACTTATGTTATTTTGTGACACTCATAATTCAGGACACAGTGTAGCTAGTCAAGCGTGATTAACTTCTTCTGGGATCTGACATTGTATTCTCTTTTGAAGCAAGAACTGGAGTCGGCAATATACAGGAGAGAAAGCTGATCAATGGAAGCGTGCCATTACCTGAAAGAATATGGTCTTTTGATTCTCCTCTGTAAATGAACAAGTGTCTTTTGTTCCCAGAACAGAACAGTGACATAAAGGGCTTTGCACAGAATACTATTCAGAAGAAATTGGCATTATATAGCATACTTGTAAGGAAAACAACAATTTGAGTAGGGGTTTCATTTATGCCCAAATCTCTACTAGAAACTCAGCAGGAAGGAAGGGAAGCACAAAAGATGCAAACAATCAGACCCTTGTTAGGTGATACAGGACCTACAGGAACATGAGAGGCTGCACTTTTACTGAAATAATGTGGTAAAATAAACAGTGTGCAATACTGGAAGATGAATGGGAAGTTAATTCTGTTAGCATTTACAATATTTCAATAGCAATATTTTCTGAACAATGGTCCCTATTGATGCTGCAAGTGCTTGCACATTGGGCCTGCTTCTTGCTCAACAGATCTGAGACTGTTTGACCGGCTGTATTCTCTAATTGGACAAGGAAGGTTTCCAAAAGTGATGAAAGGCTCTATCTCATCTGTGATGAAACTGTTTGGAACCTAACTCATGCTGATTTGTTGTTGTTACTGCTGTACTGTTGTGTTGCCTTTTTTTTTTTCTTGTAGGATATCTGGGAATATTTATTATTTTAAGTGGCACGGTAACTAGAGGCCAAAGGTTAATAACTTCAAGTCTAGTACTTCTGTATTTTATCACCAGCTAGTGCTTATCAGCATAACAAAATAAATGGTTTAACAATGGTTTAACTCTACTTGCAAACTTCCTCTGTTGCATAAAAGATCCCTGTATACCTTCTTAGCTTAGGAGAGCACTTAGCTTTGTTAAAATATTTGGAAATTAAGGGGCTAAAAAAAAGAGAGAAAAAAAAAGAAATACACTTTCAAGTGAGATAGATAATTACTTGCATAATTAAAGGATTTTCTATACATAGGTATGCCGTTCAGCAGTATGAACTCTCCATACTGTGAAACAGCATAGCTATGCCAGCAATTAATAATTTTGACTTTAAACAAGGCAGATCTTTGTCCTGGACTGTGGGCCAAGTTTAACAGCATCTGTCTGGCTTAAAGGCCAATTCTTGCACCAGTTTGCTACAAAAATAGATTTACATTAATGCTGCTATTCCTGTGCATTTGCCTATTACTGTCTGTACACAAAGCTGCCTGATTTTCTCAATGTCTTGTGCTAGAAATGGGCCCCTCCTTGGCCACAGGGACAGCAGGCTGCTGGAAACAGGCCCAGGTGCTGGGTCCTCTGTGCTGTTGAACCAGATGCGTCTGCAAAAAGTCTATGTCACAGCTAGCTTGGGATCTAAAAATTGCCATCAAAGCTCCATCCTCTTCCCTCATCCCTTCCTTCCGATGCAGCCCAGCCCTCCTTGAATTTGAAACTGTTGCCTCCAATTTCTTAGGTCTCCAGAGGCTTACACAAGCTCCTTGGAATTCAGTCCCATCTGTGGAGCTGTGTTGGTGGCTTAACCCTTGAGGGACACAGCAGGAAAAGGCACAAAATCTTAGAAGGGGATTTCTTAACTACTGGAACACTGTTCTTGAATTATGTCAAAGCAATAAAAAACCCACCAACCTAACATTTTTCCTGTCTCATTGTCATGGTCAATAACAATATCAAAACCACACCTTGTGTGAGGGCTGCTCCAAAAGAAATGCTTCACATTTTATTATGTTGGCCCACCATGTCAGAGGCAGATGTTGATGGTTTAGCAGTAGAGTATGAATTTTCCTACCAATATTCCATTACAGGTTGTAGCCAAGCAAAAGTTCTTAACTATGAGAGTTGTGAGGTGCTGGAATAGACGGCCCAGAGAGGTTGTGGTTGCCCCATCCATTGAGGTGTTCAAGGCCAGACTGGATGGGGCCCTGGGCAGCCTGGTCTAGTATTAAATGGAGAGGTTGGTGGCCCTGCCTGTGGCAGAGGGTTGGAGATACATGATCCTTGAGGTCCCTTCCAACCCTGGTCGTTCTGTGATTCTGTGATTCTGTGAACAGATGGCAGCAGAGAGGCAAACTAACAAAATGGTATTTGACATGGAAGCGTGTATGAAGAAAAGGTGCGGAAAAATTGCACCCACTGTCATTCATTGACATTTATTGAATGCTTATGGAGACCAAACAGTGTATGTCAGTCTTTCAGTTGTGGTGACAGCAGTGTGAAAGACAAGCCATATTCTAGATAGTTGCACAGCTGTCATACCTTGAAAAGAAAAGTGTCTTGATCAGCTCATCTGAGCAAATCAGTGGATTACAAACTGAGAAGTGTGTATGGTGCTGAATATCATCTTCAATTTGTTAATGATGATCATGACAACGTTGGAATATTGCAAATTTACATCAGAATGGTCACACAGATGTCCACATAGGAACAGAGAGAACAACATAGGCAAGTTTGTCAGGACCTATTTAACGATTACAAGGCTGGAGGTGACAGTTTCCTGGGTCACATAATTACCAATGCTGAGAAGTGGTGTCATCACTGAGTCTGAGTCAGAATGACAGTTCATGAAGTAAATTCCCCATTGAAGAAAAAGTTCAAGACATGTCCCTGAACAGGTAAAGTGATGTGTGTTGTCTTTTGGGATAGGAAAATGGATGAACTTTCTAGATTTCCTGGAGCCCAGAGAAACCATCAAGAGAAACCATCAACTCCGACTTCTGCATCACAATTCTGACTAAGCTGAAGGTTTGAACTTCCAGAATCAGGCCAGAGAAGAAGAAACCTTTCTCTTACAACACGATAACACCAAGCCCAGTACCAGTTTGAAGACTGTGGAGCACACTGCCAATCTGGGCTAGGCTGTTGTACCACACCCACTATATATTTTGGACTTGGCATCTTCTAATTTCCATTTGTATGGGCTGATGAGAGATGGACAGCATGGACAATATTTTCCTATCTACAACACTTCAAAGCAGCTGTGAAACAGCGGGTCACCTCCGCGAATGCAGATTTTATGAGTGTGGCATGCAGGCTCTTGATCATCGCTGGTGAAAATGCATAGCTATAGTAGTGACTATGCTGAAAAATAGTATTTTATAGCTGAGGATTTGCTCTGTCAAATAGTGTTATTATGCTCTTTATGTCTGTTGTAGTTTCCATGAAAATAAACAGGTGGAATTACTTTCAGAGCGACCTACGTATTTTAATCTTCTCTCCTTGAGCAGCATCCATCTGCATAGTCCCTTTGGAAATGTGCTGCAGTAATAACAGAGTGGGATCCAAGGCTCCAGAAGGGATGTCATGTTGGTGTGAATTAAAATCTGAAAATTAAGAGGAATACCTGTCATTTTCCACCTGTCCTGTGACTTTATCATCATCTTTATTCAGTAATACATTTTATACAGCTTTCGATTTTCAACACAATGAATGGTAGATTCTCACAAGAACCACACGAATTAGTTACAGAGATACTATTATCTCTGAGCTAGATGGAAAGAAATGATCTTATAGTGAGAGGACAGTTCTACAACCCCAGAAGATATTGCTTTGATTCAAGGATGTCTGAGACTGTGGACGAGTAATTTAATTTCCACGCTTCAGTTTCTCCATCCTATTGAAAAAGGAATCCCAATACTCATCTGCTGCAGAGGGGCATCCTGATGAGCATGGGAAGACTGTGAGGCTTTTGCAGTGAAATAAGCAAAAAACAAATAAAATGAAAATCTAATCCATGAAAAGAAATGGCAGGTGCAGAAAGGCCAAACTGTATGAAGGACTGTGAAGCAAACCATTTGCAAAGGCTGGATCAGGAAACCAGAGCTGTCATCTGCCACCCCCAGCTTGTGGCTGAAACCACACTCTACACAGCCACTAGAGAACAATATATATTTTTTTCCCCACGTGTTATTTTCACAGCATTACAGATTATACCCTACCCAGTAATAGAGCCCTCAGCCAACTGGCTTGTGACATTTTGTAGTTGGGGATGCCACAGTTAGCAAAGTGCGATTTAGTGAAGGAATGCTACCAGTTGACCTTTTGATTGAGACATCTGTCCCAGATTGCTGCATATGCTAGTCAAAAGACAGTCACATGTTTCTTTTCCTTTTTTTTCCTTCTTTTTTTTCCTTATACTGGCCAGAAAATCCTGTGGCTTCTAAAAGATTAAAACAGTGGGTTAAACACTTTGATGGGGTTGATTCTTGAGTTACAAAACCAGAAACAGGAAAGGCCCTAACTTTTTCTAAGAGTCAAAGAGATGGAAAAGACAGACTGATACAGAGAGGCAGCTCAGGTGTTAATGCTGGCCCCCCAGAGCAGTGTCCTGAGGGATTATGGAGGCCAGCCCCTGGGTTTCAGAATTCTGCCTGTGAAGGCAGCCCTGAGGCTTTCTGCAGCAGGTTCTCTGAGTTTGGTGTTGGCTCAAGTCAAAGTCAGCGACATCCTCAGGTTCCACATGCAGCAGGCATACTCTGTTTGCAGTACATGAAACTTTTAGACGAAAATTCTTTTTTTTTTTTTTTTCAAACTGCCATTTCAGGTCAGTGACCACTTCGGTTCAGCTGTACTTCCTTTTCTTTCCCTTTAAAAAGTAAAAGCATTGGGCATATGTATCTCCTGCCATGAGTTGAGGGTGTTAAATATTGCCTCAGCTGTAGTTTTGCCACAGTGTGGGCTGTGACAGTCCTCTGCTGCTCCAGGGCCCACAGTGGCAATGGGCACACTGTTTGCTCAGAAATTCAGGCACTGAGATGATCTCATACACTGCAATGGCAATGTAAAATCAGTGCCATCCTGATTTCACATCCAAGTTGTCTCTACAGTGACCCAAATCCAGCCACTGACTTTTTGCTGGATTCTAGGCAGGGCTTTGGGAGCACATCCTAAGCAAGGGTTGATGAAGAGACTGTAGGGACCTGTTCTGGAGGTCATAGGCAGAAACTGTTCAATCACAGCTTCCAGTCGTATTTGTGACCAAAAAAACCCCAATTTTGAATAAAAAGAGTACAAATTTTCAGTCGGGAAAAGAATAAATGTGATGTGTCTCAGGTGACTGAGGGCAAAACTTGAATCCCAGAAAAAATGGTCAGTTTGCAAGCAGCTTCCAGGCTCAATTGGGAGCAGATAAATTTCCTTAGAGAAGCTATTTAAGCAGTCTTTGGTAAACAACAAACAAACACTGCTGCCTGTTTGCAGAAATGTGCCTGCATTTTCATGATTATTATTATTTTTTAAATTTATTTTTTACTGTAAATGTTCACCAGAAGGTATTCTTCCTTCATTTCCAGGTTATTTTCTTTGGAGAAAATATATGTTCTCTGTGGTCACTTCAAACGTACATCAGACCAGAGATCATTCAAATGATCTTTTAATGCTTCTAAATGAAGATATAATATGACAGCTAAGAAACTCAAACGGGAAAGAAATCCATTTTTCTCCCAAAGGCTGACACACAGCTGAGACTGATTTTTCTAAGGTTTCCTCTGAACTTGTCTGAACTATTTTTTCAGACTGAAGAGTAGAACAACAGTAATAGGAATGAAGTGACATTAATAATGTAACATCAGTTCTTTTCTTCTTTCCCCTTTGCCTCAATATGCAAAGTCTGATAGTTGCTGAAATATATTCAATCCTGAGGGACAAAATGAGGACCTACAAAAAAAGCAAGGATGGTAAGTAGCTGACTAGAAATATTGACAGCGTCTGTGAATTTCTTAAACTGTTTCACATCTCAGAGTTTTCATTTCCAAAGTGGAGACAAATTATTCACTGCATCGCAGGTATTTGATTCATTGATGAGAAGATATGCAATTAAACTTATGCTAAAGCACTCCTTAGCTATAACATCTATGGTTCTTTAATTATGGGGATGGAACATGGCAATCAACTACATGAGTTAATCACTGAAAATTGCTTGTCATTCCTCATCATTTGGGAGCTCAAGCTCACAGAGTGAAAACTTGTGCTCTTTACCCAGGCAGAACTCCAAGTGAGGACAAGGTGGGCTTTGCCATATGGGTTCCAGTGGAAGTGAATGGGAGATTTGCCTCAGTTAGGAAATGAATGCATTTTGCCTCGGTTCAAACCTTTCAGTTCCCTACATCACTGTGCTAAGCCCAACAGTGAGACCTGGCTGCTGCAGGAGGATTTTGGAGCATGGCCATCCAAATTATCTGAACAGAATGACCGCTTGCTGTCTGACTGCTGAGCATTAAGTGTGTGTGAGTTCAGTATAAATTCAAGGTTTTGCTTCTGAAATGGCTAAGCACAGCATCAGACAGTATAGAGGAAGTTTCCCTTTGCCACATATGCCACACACTTTCTTTTGCATCTGAGATTCTCTTTTTACAGCCCTACCCAACAGCTTTGTCAAAATGTGAGCTGATTTTGTGCCACAGGCAAATATTTATGAAGAACAGGACTGGCAACTGAAATAATTTGTTCCATTTACCTAAACAAGTTTTTGAATCTTAAATTGCCAAGAATAAAAGAGGCTCATGCAATTAAAGAAAAACAAAAACTAGGGTAAAATGAGTAGATCAGAACAGCGATAGTTATCCTACAATGGTAAGAAAAAAAAAAAGACTATAAAAACCTTTTAAGCTTGGATTTTATTTTTTTTCATTAGCATTACTCACTGATGCTTTGTTCACTGCTGGCATTATTTGAATTTGCATTCTGTACTGAAATCAGCTTTTGTGTAGTTTTGTTTTGTTTCTTTCTTCACGCTCTCTAAGCAGAACATTCCAATAAGTTTGGGGTAAGTGATATCCCAATGTCCTTACAAGAAACAGGTAACAGCTTTCTTTAAAAAAGAGTGGAAGCCCAAAAAACAGAGTTCCTGAGATGAGGAGCAAAGTGTTAGTGTTCCTGAGAAGTGACATGCTGATCTGTCAACACTGGAGGGGCTATGATTCAGGTTGGTTCTCTGCTGTGGACCAAGAAAATATGGGTCATGTTTTGGGGTAAAGAATGCCAAAGCAGGGGACTTGACCCAGCAGCTGCACCACCTGCACTCTACTACTGCATGGTGACTACAGTCCAAGCAGTTTCAATCCTGCTTTCACCAATGATGTTTCTTCACACCATGAATTCGTCACCACACCAGCAACCATGAATGCGGTACTCAATGGTGAGGGCAGGAAGTGAAGACAGAAACCCAAAGGAGGAGCTGAGGCAAGGCTGGAGCTGCTGTGGAGCAGGCGATCTGGGGGACAGGTGGAGCAGCAGCATTGAGCTGACCCACCAGGCCTGGAGGAGAGGACAGGAGTAAAAGCATAGCTAGAGACAAAGGCTGCTCTTGTTTGAAGAGAGGAATAAATCCTGAATTGACACCTTACTGAAGTCAGGCCTGTGCTTAGCAAACTTGTGGGTATCCTGGCTCCTGAACATGGACCCTCCTTGGTGGTCTCAGTGTCAGTGTACCAACTGAGAAGGAGGAGGGTGGTGGAGAGAGTTGGCGTGGCTGCTTCCGCATTTAACCACTCTGAAGAGTTTGACAAAATTAATAGTGTTTTTTTTTCTCATTTCTTCAGCAGGTTTGGAGTCAGATTATTTCCTGTCTCCTCAGAAGACAGAACAGCTGCTGTAAAAACAAGACCGTGAGGAGACACAGCAGTGTTGCTGCCAGATAAGGATAGCATGGCTGTTCATTCCCTTCTCACTCACGCAGGACAGGGCCATCATTATCTAGTTTAAAGCAAACATGACAGACACTGCTATTATCACATCAGCAGATTGTTCAGTTATTATTGTTTGTATTGCAGGAGTGCCTGGAGGCCCAGGCTGTGTTGCAACACTTATTTGCTATGTGCGGGACATACTTTCAGGAGACCGTTCCCATCTGGAACAGCTTCTTCTGCACACACTAAGTACCAGTAAGTAAAAAGGGACTAATTACACTGTACCAGAGCAAAGGAAATGCAGTTTACCCAAAGTTGTAACTGAGAAACTCTTCTATAGAGCTGTATGGACAGCATCATTCTCAAGCCACGTGGAGAGACAGCAAAATTAATCAGCTGATGTTTTTGCATGTAGAAAGAAAAGATTGCATATGCCTGAAACAACCTGCACTAAACATGGTGATACAAGTGGCAATTCCACTTCTTCAGAAGGCAGCCTGATAATGGGAGACTTAAGAATTTTTGTACATGTCTTTGCTAATGATCCCTTTAATTACTAGCTATAAATCATATGGTATGAAAACATCACCATTCTCATTTCAAGAAGAAAGATTTTGTAATGCTTTTTCTCTGTGTAATACATATGGATTTAGGGCTCTGTGGATTAAATTTGGCAATTTCAGGCATGCAAGGTTACTAATCCGTACTTTGTCTACATAAAATCAAAAGAAGAAGCAAGGCAGCCTTGTGCCCTGGGGATGGCTGGGGAATTCCACACATGCCTGTCTTCTGTAACTCTTGTCAAGGGTGAAAACATTAATGTCAGTGTTGCAATAGTTACAGGCAGACCAAAGGGGCACACTTCAAGCAAAGCAAACGTGGTTTCATTAAGTATTTCTCTGTTTTCACTTCACAGTTATTTTTTTGACACCTCTGTTCTCCCAGTTTCCTGATGTTTTAAAGTATGTATTTGTCACATTTAATTCTGTTTTCCTGTAGTAGCTTCATCCGCAGAGACTTCTCTTGGAGAACGGCCCAGAGATTTTTCTGTTTCTTCTTACATTTCTATTTTCTCTGCATCTGCTGTTACATCATCTATATGGGTTATATACACATAATTTTAGTTTTTATGTCAAACTTTTAATGCCACAATCAGGCTGTCAAAATGACTAAGTCCTGAGGAATTTATTTAGGCAAAATTTGCACAGAATTGTCTGTGATTTCTTTAATAAGTTGAATGCTGCAATATTTCTGGTAGGTATGCCAAAATAATATAGGTATAAGAATAGAGCATTAGTAAAAATCATTTCAGGAGACAGTAAAGTAAATCACATTGTGCAGCTTTAACAAGGTCAATGATGAACTGGAAGGAAGCAAGGAATCTTGATTTTGGCTTCAGTTTTCAATTCTTGACCACGCTTCTTTGCTGTGTAATTACACTATTTACTGTTAAATTTTATTTAATATTGAACTGAGTAAATTCTATAATTACTGAATTTAATAAATTATGTAACTATTCTCCTGCATCTCATTAATAGATCCTGCAATCTTGTATCAAATACATAATTGGTGTAAGTTTCCTGTTCATATTTCAGTTTCTTTTTAAAGATCACTAGACTCCACACATGAGTACATTCATCTTTCTGTCAGCTGCTCTGCTCCCCAGCCATCACCTGTGGTTTGTGGAGCACTCAGTCCCAGGTGGTAACCAAATTGGGATTTGGTATAATTGGGTAGCAAAGCACAGGAAGAGGCAAACACAAGAAAATTATCCAAGATTTGGAGTACTCTGCAACTGTAGCAGTTGTGCAGTTGAAGATGCAGCTATTGAGTAGGAGCTGCTCAAGGGTGAGATCCTGCAGAGCCTGAAGGTTAACCGCCCATCAGTGCTGCAAGCATTTTTCTTAAGTAGTGAACTGCTTCTGAAAAATGTTTGTTTGTGTTGTTTTGGTGGTTTTTTTTTTCCACATCTCTCCCCGCTTTTCTTCCCCTCCTGTCCCCTTCTGAATCACAGAATCACAGAATTGTAGGGGTTGGAAGGGACCTCCAGAGATCATCGAGTCCAACCCCCCTGCCAAAGCAGGTTCCCTACAGCAGGTCGCACAGGTAGGCATCCAGGCAGGTCTTGAACATCTCCAGAGAAGGAGACTCCACCACCTCCCTGGGCAGCCTGTTCCAGTGCTCCGTCACCTCACTGTAAAGAAGTTCTTGCGCACATTTGTGCAGAACTTCCTATGCTGCAGTTTCCAGCCGTTTCCCCTTGTCCTGTCTCCACTCACCACTGAAAACAGTCTGGCCTCGCCATTCTGCCCCCCACACCTTAGATATTTATAGACCTGGATCAGGTCCCCTCTCAGTCTCCTTTTCTCAAGGCTGAACAGACCCAGTTCATTCAGCCTTTCCTCATAGGAGAGATGCTCCAGGCCCTTCACCATCTTTGTGGCCCTCCGTTGGACTCTTTCCAAGAGATCCTTGCCTTTTTTGTACTGGGGAGCCCAGAACTGGACGCAATCTCTCTCTCAGTGGGAATCATTTGTTTTAATTAATTCAGCAAGCTGAGAACAGATTAAGGAAACTTATGTCCCTACACCCCCAAAGTAATTGGATTAGAGGGAATTACAGATTTTGTTTTCTTGTGGAGTCTCTGCCTACCCCCCTCATTTCATCTGTGTTTAATTTAAAAAATATTTCAATTTCTTCCTCAGCTTCCTCTCATCTCTAGTTTAATTGGAGCTACTGTTAGCACACTGTGGAGTTTATAAGACAATGAGTTTAGTCAGCATTCCTGTCAGACTATTTATCCTACAGAATCACAGAATCCTCAAATGCTGAGGTTAGCAGGGACCTCTGGGTCCATCAGGGCCAACCTCTTCTCCAGCGGGGCCACCCAGAGCAGCAGATGTGGGGCCACGTCCAGGTGAATTTTTGAGATCTCCAAGGAGAAGACCACACAGCCTCTGGGCAACCTGTGCCAGTGCTCATCTGCTGAAACAATGTAGAATTGCTCCTGGTGTTCATAGACATAGAATCCGTAGAGTTGGAAGGCCATCTGAAGGCCATCTAGTCCAGCTCCCCTGCAATGAACAGGGACGTGTACAGCTAGATCAATTTGCCCAGAGCCTTATCCAGCCTCACCTTGAAAGTCTCCAAGTACATCAACCAAGGGCATCAACCACATCACTGGCAACCTGTTCCAGTGCCTCACCACCCTCTCTGCAAAATGTTTTTTCTTCAAGCTAACCTAAATCTACTCTCTTTGAGCTTGAAACCATTTTCCCTTGTTCTGTCACCGCAGACCCTGCTAAAGAGTCTGTCGCCTTCTTTCCTGTAGCTGCCCTTTAGATACTGGAAGGCTGCTCTCAGGTCACCTCAGAGTCTTCTCCAGGCTGAACAGTCCCAGCTCTCTCGGCCTGTCCTCATAGGAGGGGTGTTCCATTCCTTGAATCGTTTTTGTGTCCCTTCACTGGACACGCTCCAACATGTCTGTCTTTCCTGTACTGAGTACTCCACATCTGGACACAGTACTCCAGGTGAGGCCTCACCAGTGCAAAGTAGAGGGGCAAGCTGGCCTTTTGATGCAGCCCAGGATTCGGTTGGCTTTCTGGGCTGTAAGGGGCACATTGCTGGCTCAAGTCCAACTTCCCATCCATCAGTACCCCCAGGTCTTTTTTAGCAGGGCTGTGCTCAATCCTTTCATCCTCCAGCTTGTATTGGCAATAGGGGTTGCCTCAACCCAGGTGCAAGATCTTGCATTTGGATTTGTTGAACCTCATGAGGTTCACATGGACTCACTGCTCATCCTGCCTAGGTCCCTCTGGATGGCCTGTCCCTCTGGCGTGTCAACCACACTTCACAGCTTGGTGTCATCAGCAAACTTGCTGAGGGTGTACTTGACCCCACTGTCAATGTGTCATTGATAAAGATATTAAAGAGCATCATCCCCAGCACTGATCCCTATGGGACACCAGTTGTCACTGATCTCCATCCAGACAGAGCCATTGGCCACCACTCTCTGGATTTGATCCTGCAGACAGTTTATCTACTGAACATCAAATCCATATCTTTCCAATTTGGGGAGGGAGATGTTGGTGGCTACTGTGTCAGAGGCCTTACTGAAGTTGAGAGAGTTGACATCAGTAGCTCTTCCCTTATCAATTGATGCAGTGATACTATCACAGAATCACAGAATCACAGAATGGCTAGGATTGGAAGGGATTTCAAGGATCATGAATTTCCAACCCCCCTGCCACATGCAGGGCCACCAACCTCCCCATTCAATACTAGACCAGGCTGCCCAGGGCCCCATCCAGTCTGGCCTTGAACACCTCCAGCAACGGGGGCATCTACAACCTCTCTGGGCAGCCTGTTCCAGCACTTCACCACTCTCTCTGTAAAGAATTTCCCCTTGACAAACAACCTAAATCTTCCCTCCCTCAACTTAAAACGATTTCCCCATGTCCCGCTATTTATCTACCCTTGAAAAGAGTTCACTCCCCTCCTGTTTGTAGGCTGCTTTTAGGCATTGAAAGGCTGCAATGAGGTTACCCCCTAGCCTTCTTTTCTCTAGGCTGAACAAGCCCAGCTCCCTCAGCCTGTCTTTGTAGGGGAGGTACTCCAGGCCCCTGATCATCTTTGTGGTTCTCCTCTGGACCCTCTCCAACAGCTCCCTGTCTTTCTTGTACTGGGAACTCCAGACCTGGACTCAGTACTCCAGATGGGGCCTCACAAGAGCAGAGTAGAGGGGGACAATCACCTCCCTGTCCCTGCTGGTCACCCCTCTTCTGATGGAACCCAGGATACCATTTGCCTTCTGAGCTGCAAAGGCACACTGCTGGCTCATGTTAAGTTTTTCACCTATCAGGACCCTCAGGTCCTTCTCTGCCGGGCTGCTCTCAAGGACCACTCCTTCCAGTCTGTATGGATGCCTGGGATTCTTCTGTCCCAAGTACAAAACTTTGCACTTTGCTGTGTTGAACCTCATCAGGTTCACCTGAGCCCACCTTTCTAGCCTCTCGAGGTCCCTCTGAATGGCATCCCTTCCTTCTACCGTGTCCACTGCACCACTCAGCTTGGTGTTGTCAGCAAACTTGCGGAGGGTGCACTTGATTCCATCATCGATGTCATTGATAAAGATGTTAGAGAGCACTGGTCCCAAGACAGACCCCTGGGGGATGCTGCTCATTACCAGCCTTCACCTGGACATGGAGCCATTGATGACCACCCTCTGTCTGTGACCTCTCAACCAGTTTCTTATCCTTTGAGTGGTCCACGCATCAAATCCACATCCCTCCAATTTGGAGATAAGGATTTGGTGGGGGACCGTGTCAAAGACCTTGCTCAAGTCCAGGTAAATGACATTGGTCGCCTTCCCCATGTCCACCAGTGCCGTCACTCCATCATAGAAGGCCACCAGATTGGTCAAGCATGACCTTCCTTTGGTGAAGCCGTGCTGGCTGTCTTGGATCACACGCTCATTCCTCATGTGATCAAGCATGTGGTCCAGGATGATCTGTTCCATGATCTTCCCAGGCACAGAGGGCCTGTAGTTCCTGGGTCCTCCTTTTTCCCTTTCTTGTAAAGAGGAGTGACGCGAACCTTCCTCCAGACATCCAAGACCTCACCTGACAGCCACAACTTTTCAAATATGATGAATGGCAGCTTGGCAACCACCTCAGCCAGCTCCTTCAGAACCCTGGGATGCACGCCATCTGGCCCCATAGACTTGTACACATTCAGTCTCATAAGGCAGTCTTGGACTTGCTCTGTTCTCACAGTGGGGGGGATTTACCACCCCAGCCCACACCTAGAGGTTTAGGGATGCAGGGCTCAGGGACGTGAGAAGTACTGGCCGCCAGTGTAGACAGAGGCAAAGAACTCATTCAGTTCCTCAGCCTTCTCTTTGTCTGATGAAGCCAGTTCTCCTTTTACATTTACCAAAGGAGGTACACTCGCTTTGGCCTGTCTCTTCTGGCCAATGTACCTGTAGAAAGTCTTCCTATTGTTTTTCATGTACCACACCAAGTTCAGTTCCGCCTGCGCCTTGGCTTTCCTGATCCCACATCTGTGAGTCCAGACAGCATCCCTGTATTCTTCCCAGGTGACACAGCCTTGTTTCCAGAGCTTGTACGCACCTTTCTTCGCTCTCTGCACGCCCAGCAGGTTCTTATCGAGCATGCTGGCTTCCTACCTCCTCTTCACACTTTCTTATTCAGAGGGATGGAGAACTGCTGTGCTCTCAAGAAGGCATCCTTGAAGAGCAGCCAGCTCTCCTCAACATCTTTGCTTTTAAAGACAGCATCCCATGGGATCTCAGCCAGCCACTCCATTGAACGGCTTAAAGTTCACTCTTCCAAAGTTCGGGGTCCTGATGCCACTCTTTGCCAGGCCAGATACCTCGAGATCACGAACTCAGCCACGATGTGGTCACTGCAGCCCAGGCTGCCTCCAACCTTAACACCTTTGGTGATTTCCTCCGCATTGGTGAGCGACAGGTCCAACAACACTTCACCTCTGGTCAGTCTGTCCAGTACCTGGACAGA